TTACACATAACACACAGACATTTCATATATCCCCAGATAGCTGGGATCTGAGTGCACATTATTAGATGAATGGCACTCAGATCACACAAATAAGCCTTTCTGCAGGGGAAATAAACGGTTTAACCTGCAGGGCCATAGTCCAAAGGGAGCAGGCGAGCAACCAGGCTTCTCCAGTTCACAGTGGCGAGGTTGGTTTCGCCACAGTCTCCATTCACTTTTCTCGTTCGGTTCTCTGCTGTATCCGAATTGCCATTCCCTTTTCTCGTTCTGTAGTTTCACTTTATCTGAACGCTGCTTTTCGGCTGTAAGGTTGGATCCCTTCGCTTGCCACCAATTGTAGCGGAGCGGCAATATTAAATTCCACGATCTCCGCTTGTAAAGAAGGTAATCCACAGTCAAGCGCTGAAAAGTAAGGCAATATCCCAAATCCCCCAGTAACCGGATGAAACACAGTTCTGGGAGTCAACTGAGGTTTTTATTCACAGCTCCAGTATTTATGCAAGTCCCCATGCAAGGGGTTTACTGACATAGCAGGGGTAACACAGTAGGGACTACATGGGGGACTTAACATTCTGGGCATTTCTCCCATCAGGCACTGCTGGACGAGAGGGATACTCCCACTGGAATACACCGTTAAGTGGATTATCCCTCCGTGCAGCAGAACCGGCATTTTACATTTAAATACATAACTTTTACACTATTCGGTTTATTTAAACGAATGGACGTTCGGTAGATAGCTGGGGTCTGAGCGCACATTTTGTACCACTCAGATCCCAGCTAAAACAACCGAACGCCGCACGAAATACACTTTGCCATCGCGTTCGCCTAAAAGTACCGAACACCGATAGGGAACCACAATAACGAAAGACCGGAGCTCCCGAACGGCCTGCAAATCCAGCGGTGTTCGCGCCGTCGAGTAGCTGTTTTCAGTTCCACGCGCTCGACGACCAAACACCGTTGGTGAGACAAAGGATCCAAGATGGCCGACCGCCGCGTGGTCGGTAGCCGAACGACGGCCACCTAGGAAAGTCTCTAATTACCGATTGCAACATTGTTGCAATCAGTTAATGAGCGCCACATGTCCCTCTATGTGTGGGCTATTAGGGGGTAGCTCATTCGGTTCACGAACAGCCAGTAAGGTTGCTGTTCGTGAAACGAAACACATGAATGCTAGCGGCTTTCGGCTGCTAGCATACAAATTCTATACAAACACACAGTAACACACAGTGTAGATATAGGTTATAGATGAAGTTACAGGGATTAGTACAGACAACCTTTTTATGCATATAGTCCAGAGTATTACAAGTGGCTAGGTTTGCCACAGTGTCATTGCAGGGGACCACATTGCCTCCTTGCTACCTGTGTATGTCTCTGGGTGCTGTGTCAATGCAGGGGATCACATTGCCTCGATGCTCCCTGTGTGTATCTCTGGGTGCTGTGTCATTGCAGGGGATCACATTGCCTCGATGCTCCCTGTGTGTGTCTCTGGGTGCTGTGTCATTGCTGGGGATCACATTGCCTCCATGCTCTCTGGGTGCTGTGTCATTGCAGGGGATCACATTGCCTCCATGCTCCCTGTGTGTGTCTCTGGGTACTGTGTCATTGCAGGGGATCACATTGCCTCCATGCTACCTGTGTGTGTCTCTGGGTGCTGTGTCATTGCCGGGGATCACATTGCCTCCATGCTACCTGTGTGTGTGTCTCTGGGTACTGTGTCATTGCTGGGGATCACATTGCCTCCATGCTACCTGTGTGTGTCTCTGGGTGCTGTGTCATTGCCGGGGATCACATTGCCTCCATGCTCCCTGTGTGTGTGTCTCTGGGTACTGTGTCATTGCTGGGGATCACATTGCCTCCATGCTACCTGTGTGTGTCTCTGGGTGCTGTGTCATTGCAGGGGACCACATTGCCTCCATGCTACCTGTTTGTGTCTCTGGGTGCTGTGTCATTGCAGGGGACCACATTGCCTCCATGCTACCTGTGTGTATCTCTGGGTGCTGTGTCATTGCAGGGGATCACATTGCCTCCATGCTCCCTGTGTATGTCTCTGGGTGCTGTGTCAATGCAGGGGATCACATTGCCTCCATGCTCCCTGTGTGTGTCTCTGGGTGCTGTGTCATTGCAGGGGATCACATTGCCTCCATGCTCCCTGTGTGTGTCTCTGGGTGCTGTGTCGTTGCAGGGGATCACATTGCCTCCATGCTACCTGTGTGTGTCTCTGGGTGCTGTGTCATTGCAGGGGATCACATTGCCTCCATGCTACCTGTGTGTGTCTCTGGGTGCTGTGTCATTGCAGGGGATCACATTGCCTCCATGCTACCTGTGTGTGTCTCTGGGTGCTGTGTCATTGCAGGGGATCACATTGCCTCCATGCTACCTGTGTGTGTCTCTGGGTGCTGTGTCATTGCAGGGGATCACATTGCCTCCATTGTCTCTGGGTGCTGTGTCATGCATTGCCTCCATGTGTGTGTCTCTGGGTGCTGTGTCATTGCAGGGGATCACATTGCCTCCATGCTCCCTGTGTGTGTCTCTGGGTGCTGTGTCGTTGCAGGGGATCACATTGCCTCCATGCTACCTGTGTGTATCTCTGGGTGCTGTGTCATTGCCGGGGATCACATTGCCTCCATGCTCCCTGTGTGTGTCTCTGGGTGCTGTATCGTTGAAGGGGATCACATTGCCTCCATGCTACCTGGGTATGTCACTGGATGTGTTGTTGCAGGGGATCTCCATGTTAGCTGTGTGTCTGTGGGTTCTGTGCTATCAATTTGCTTCTATGATATCTGTATTTGTCACTGGATGCTGTGTCATTGCAGGGGATCACATTGCCTCTATGCTAGCTGTGTGTGTTGCATCCAGCCGGACTCTGGAGGTTCTTGATCTAGAAGGGACGGGTCTCACCAACCAGTCAGCTCAGGTATGTCTCAGCTATGTAGATAATTAAAGAGAGGTTGTAAAAGGTATGAAAATAATCATTGCTTATCTTCCCTTCATTTTTCCACAGATCCTGCTAGACATGGTGCAGAATTATCCTACTCCTCTAAAAACCATCATACTTTCAGAGAACAACATCAGCGTGGACCTGCAGCAGAAAATAGCTGACCTTTTATCTGAAGGGGAAGAGGAGGATGAGGGTGAAGGCCAAGAAATGGAGCGACCTGTAAGAGAGAAAGCAACCAAACCAGGTGCAAGAAACAGGACATGGCATGGTGGGAGGCATGGGCAACCAAATCAGGTGCAAGAAACAGGACATGGCATGGTGGGAGGCATGGGCAACCAAATCAGGTGCAAGAAACAGTACATGGCATGGTGGGAGGCTTGGGCAACCAAACCAGATGCAAGAAACAGGACATGGCATGGTGGGAGGCATGGGGTAGAATGAAAATGATCTATTACAAAGAAGGCCCACAGTTTAAGGGTATGAAGATTAATGAGCACTACAAGGAAGATAATGAGGGTATTGTTAGGACAAAGAGCATGTGATACGTGCAAGTTCTGAAGGATGTAGATCATGTACATTGTGATCTTTTAGTAGGGAGTAGTGTGTTCGATGTGCACATTGAGGAGGGGGTGGACTGTGTGAGATGTGCACATTGAGGAGGGGGTGGACTGTGTGAGATGTGCACATTGAGGAGGGGGTGGACTGTGTGAGGTGTACACATTGAGGAGGAGGTGGACTATGTGAGGTGTGCACATTGAGGAGGAGGTGGACTGTGTGAGGTGTGCACATTGAGGAGGAGGAGGACTGTGCACATTGAGGAGGAGGACTGTGTGAGATGGGTGGATCCAGGACGAGGTGGACTGTGTAAGTTTTATGGATGTGAAATATGTAGAATCAGGAGTCGTGGAATTAGTGAAATTTACAGATCCGGAAGAAGGTAGTGTGTAGATCCAGAAGGAAGTTTAGTGTGTGACATGTATGGATACTAGAGTAGGTGAAAGATATAAGTGGGACCAGGAGGAGGTGGAGTGTATGAGATATGTGGATCTAGAAGGTAGTGGAATTAGTGAGATGTGTGGATAAAGGTTAAGGTGAAGTGTATGAGATGTGTAATGTGTCGTGTTGATCAGGTCCGGCATGCGGGATAAGGTTGTAATATTGTTTATCTTTTTAAGGTCCTGCATTTCATCGGGTTCTCTTGGCCTCCAGCCTTGGTGACAGCCTGCTTGCTGAGACTGAGATGTGACATGCGTTGTAGACACTTTATACATCAGTAACTAAGCCTACTTCCCACAATGCAGCACAAAGCTGATCATAAGAAAGACAGAAGCACATGGTAAAGAAGCTGCTATGCCACGTTTTTCTGGTGGCTTGTCCTATCAGCCATTACTGATTTCTAAGTGGATGCTGACGTTTTCAACTATTGACCCAAAACATTCCAAAGTTTGTCACTTTTTGCACAGAGAATATATCTATTTATTGTAGCTCCCAGATCTCGGGAGAAAATACCTTTGCTCTACTAGCTGTTTGGCTGTTGTTTTGTTTTGCGTATGTTACCCTATCCATTGTGAGAACTTGTATTGTAGTGCCTTGCTGTGCTACACCACTCAGTGCGCTTTTGAAAACGCATGTTATTCACCACTTTTAAAGCTGGGTACACGAACTGAATAAGTACAAAACTGTGAATAATAAACTAAGCACTGAACACACTGCTTGTGGCTGGCACTGACAATGATAACCCCTTCACTACCAAGCACTTTGGCACTTTGATATAGAATGTATTTAAAGCAAGAGTTCCATAACTAGTATATACAGATCACAACAGTTGTGAATAGATTGTTTTGCAGACAAACCTAAACATGACAATTATGTAAATTTACACAATTTTCCTTTTTACACATTCGTTCACTCTTTATAAAAAAAAAAAAAATCTTTAGACAGTGTACAATGTTCTTTATTGTGCAATATTTCACACAGGGTGAAAGATGCAAGTTTTCTCACATACAGTAGATGTGACAAAACATATATGAACTAATCATTGGCCAGCTTACAGGTATTTGTACAGACACTAAAGGCTTTACTAGAAGTAATCATATAATTCTAAAATAAAGTTGTTGTTTTTTTTTTTTTTTTTTAATTGCCCTAGCAATCTTTATCAATCTCTGGAGAGCACTAATATAATGCTGACTCTGAAATGGTAGAGCCACTTCACTCCTCCCCTTCCTGACTGTAGGAATGGTATGACCCACTGAAACTTTCTTTAGTGTTTGAAATCAGGGGGTCTGCAGATATTTTCAGCTACTCTCCAGGCTGATAATTGTTCCTAGATTATAAATGTGAGTGAGTGAACCTTTATGGACTAAATTTAATTCTGCAAAATACATGTACAAGTAAAAACATTTATACTCAATTTTGGTAGTGAAGGGGTTAAACAGTGTAGGATTCTCCCGAGCAAACTTGCACTGAGCCCTTTAAATATAAGAGTTTATTCACAAAACTGAATTGATGTGAACTGCAAACCAAATTGCGAAAAGGCTAAAATAAACAAGTTGTAAGCACAAGTAGTTGAATAAAGTTGATAAAAAAAAAAGAAATGTCTTCTCCTGTGAGTTAGTGACAGCAAATGTGATCTATGACAACACGCTGGATACAGGTTGGAGTCCACGGACCTGCAGGGACAATTTGTCTTTGGATTCTCTCATTAAACTAAGAATTGTGGAGAAGGCTAATTGTAGAGTTTAAGTCAAAACATTTATATTGTATTGCAGGCTGCAAAAAGACTCATATTCAGAACATTCAGCCTTTGGTGTATTGGTATTACTGGCTGCTGTGCATTTAAAAGTAAATCTCACCTCAAATTGGGTTTTCCATCTGTTTTCTATCTACAAAAATAAGAGGGAAAATATTTCTCGTTTCCAAAATGGCAGATTCATCCTTATTACCCAACATATTAACCTTTTAATATTCAGATTTACCAAAACAGCAGTAAAAGAGCTAAAGAAAAAAACTTTCTGACAAATAAACCTTTTTAGGCCGAGAATTTCTCACCTACATTTATCAGGACCTCACTTCCACCCTCACCTACCTCACGCTCCCACAGTTATGCCATTTGGCCTCTGCAGTGCCCCTGCCTTGTTCCAACATTTCCTTCATGACATCTTTAAAGACCTCCTGGATCAGTATGTCATAATATATCTTGATGACATTTTGATCTTTACTCCTGACCTACCCCTGCATCGTTA